TTTGTTCACATGAATTTTACACATTGAGAGTATCTAACATTTTGATTTGTATATTTACACATCATACATTCAAATCACCATGTTCATTCTTCTGTGACCAAAATCGGCCATTCATGCTTTAATTATTTATAATAAAATGTTAGCCAATACATGGGTGTGATTCTTTAATCTCAATGAACACTTAAAATATTTATCTTTGATATACATTATCATGTTAACAAAAGAAAAAACTGCAAGTTTCTTTGAACATGATTGTCAAATTAAGGACTGACATTGAGCTATATTATATTAAAATATATCCCATTACAGCAAACATGATACCATTAGGCACACAACATGCAAAATCTCAAATCAAATGGTATTCTTGTGTTTGAAAGTTAATACTGATGTGTGTATGCACATATAAAGGAAATATAACCAACAAGTACAAATTCAAAACCAGGAATGTTATTTATTTTGAATAATTTAAATGTTACAAATAAAAATCATCGCAATTTATAAAAAATATATATTATAACTACTATTTTTAAAACTATCCATGTTTATTCATGTTTCACCTTTTAATTTCTAACTGTCTTTAAAACAGAACAAGAGTATTGCTTACAACAGCTAATTATTTTGGGCGCCGTATTTTTTGGCGGAACAGAACAAATAATTTATTTATTTATTTATATTTATTTTTTCCTTCATGAATATTCAAAAACATTACTGTCATTGCATGATTTGCAAGACAATTTTATTTTATTTTATTGTATATCCAAGAATAACGGAAATTCAAATATTCCCACATACATATTGGAAACTAGAATGGAAATTACATATATTTATATTATTTTAATATAAACAAAAAAGAATATAAAACTCATAAACATAAATAATTTAAAGTATTATTTCAGAAGCTGATGACTCATGACAAGCTGGCATTCGTTCGAGGGATCAGGGAATCTACGAAATGGTCTGATCCTGGAATGTACACTTTTGAAGATTTTGAATCTGGCGGGAATTTCAAGTTTGGGCGCCAAATAGATTTCTATCTCTTCAGAATTTGAACTTCCCTCCTCTTATTTAATCTTCCACCTCCCCCCAGTTTCAGCATTGTGTCGTTGCGATTTAGCTTTGTAACTTTGTGCGGTAGAGAGCTTCAGTCGACATATAGGAGTTTGCCTTTGGTTAGTAGAGGTTTCTTGCCACCATGTCTGGTCGCGGCAAGGGTGGGAAGGGACTGGGCAAGGGCGGCGCCAAGCGCCATCGTAAGGTATTGCGCGATAACATTCAGGGGATCACTAAGCCTGCCATCAGGCGCTTAGCAAGAAGAGGAGGCGTGAAGCGCATCAGTGGTCTGATCTATGAAGAGACTCGGGGCGTGCTTAAGATCTTTCTTGAGAACGTGATTAGAGATGCTGTAACATATACCGAGCATGCTCGGCGCAAGACCGTGACGGCTATGGATGTGGTTTATGCCCTGAAGCGTCAGGGCAGAACTCTCTATGGTTTTGGAGGCTAGGTCGACGTGCCAGACCTTCGCATCGCACGTAAAAATGGTGTTATTGAACACCACCTTCTGACGAACCTTATCAAGTCTTATCAGTTTTAGCTTTCTACTTTCATTGGATGTTTGTTTACTTATTTGTTTGTTTGTTTGTTTTTTCTTTCTAATTTTAGCGAGTGTTGTGTTTCGTGATGCTTGGGATGTTTGTAACAGCGTTAACCGATTTGACAGTGGCGTCTTTTATTTCCAAGCGTTAAGTCCCAAGCCTATAATTTCATTTTTGCGGTTTTGAACCGTGTCCGCTTACAAAGCGTCTAGAAGTTGTAGGTTCGTATTATATGAATTCCTGGCTTACAGAAGCCTTGTGGTTAATTTAGTGCTAATTTTTTTGAATAAAAAAGGTAATGGGCTTGAATAAAAAGTACACCATTTCACCTTTCGGAAGGTCCAGGACGATGACATGTACCAAGCTGATTTTGGACCGTCGAATGACGTCAAATGAGGTGAGGTAGCTAGTCATCAATCTGCATACTGCTGAAAATAAGGGAACGACCCTGACTCCGACTCGCCTCTATCTTCCACGGCAGAATATGATTCAGAACCCTATTTACAGCCATCAAAATCCAGCCTCTGTTGAATCGTCGATTTAGTGCTCGTCGGTGGCATCCTCGTGCGCTACCTAATACAGCTTTCGAAGTGAGGCCAAGAGCTACCACTGTTCCAGAAAATAAGTCGCAGCTGCGTAGCGCAATTGCTAGCCGAAGTATGCCGGAGAACGTGAGTTACCGAGCTGAAATGTTATCTCTCTAGGTTGCTAATTTTTTGGGAAGATTTTTATGTTTCCGAGATAGAGAATTATGGTAATGCTACGGTTTACACAAGGAAAATCGTAGAGATAGGAAGCAGTACGTCAAAGTCCTTTTTCGCAGAGAGCACAGACTCATCTTGCGCACGCATGACGAAGAGACGGCTTCGCTTGAATCATAACAGGGTGATGTTGCCATCACAAGTCATAGTAACCCTGGCGGACACTTCTTGGGGACAGTTTTGAAAATCCTTCTCATGTTTCACAGTTGGTGAGAGTTGAAGCGTTCTGGTGTGGACACGTCACTACTATCCAGCATTTTCCTATTTTTCTTTACAGTCATTACTAGGTCTGAAAATGACAGTCGATGCATTCCTGTCCTTTTTCTTTACAGTCATTAATACGTACGAAAATGCATTGAAGATGTTAAAATAAAATGTTCTAGATAATCATGCTATTATAAAATAAATTTTTCACTAAATATTAGAGGTGGATTAATCACAATCTAATTGAATTCACATTCATTGATACCAATTAACACCAAAGTTCCAGAAAATAGCGTATAAGTTGATGAAAAGGTCAATAGGATCAAATTAGGTAGTTGAAGAACAAAAACGTATTGCAATAACCAAAGTTAATATTATAGTCAAGTGCCGAACAATTATACATTGCTTGAGACTGGGCTACAAAAGGAACTTAGCTAACTCTGACCTCAGCACTTAAAAAGCCTACTTATTGTTCAGTTAGATAGTCTCTCTTGACATTCATCTAAATTCCGGAATACGAGAAGTGCCAATGTGACTAGTACGAAAATAATGCGGCCGACTGATAACTCATATCATCTTTTGGTTCTGAAGCAAATCTACAAATCTAAAGCTCGCCTGAATCAGCAATAACACATGCTTGCCTTGGCTTGTCATTATGATCTGTGTCTTGGTTCTCAATCGTCCTCACGACATCCAAACCTTCTATGACTTGACCGAACACTACATGCTTGTTGTTCAACCATGGAGTCTGCAGTATAAGAGTCGTATTTTAGATCCCAGTGATTAAATGTTATATTATAAAATGATAATAGTAAAAATAAATAAATAAATGAAAAAGAGTATATATACAAAACAAATAACCTGATTCACCTAAGCAGGTAACAAGCCATAATAAACCAAGAATTCTTACCTCAACAGTGCAAATGAAAAACTGGCTTCCGTTAGTGTGAGGACCAGCATTCGCCATGCTCAAGATTCCGGGGCCAGTATGTCTCACTACATACCCAGACAATAACGCACATAAGCCCATGAAACAAGAACCACTCACTTGCACACTCGTATTAACACATGATTGGTGGGGAACAAAACACCTCTAAAAGTGAATGGTAGTAGAGAAATCGGATTGAATTTATTTTCGATGTGTACAAGGGGCCATATCAAATCAGCTGGCCGAAATGTTAAGGATTCAGAGATGAAATATCCACATGCAAGGTACAGGTTACACTCACACTTGAAGTTTTCATCCCTGAAGGTTCTTCCATAAATGCTCTTGCCTCCAGTACCCTGTACAGGTTTGTATTGACGTAAATCACGTATGCTCTCATGATTCACTAGATGGAAAGACATCTAACTTATTGTATTCTACAATTTTCATACAATTTGAGTTGAAACTTTCAATGCCATCCTAAAGCTAATGGGAAGAATACGAAGACCTGCTTTGTCGAGTTACAATAACTACAGGCTCAATGAACAACATAAACTGATACATGGTAAGATATGCATGTAGACAGCAACCAAAGTAGAAGAGTTGAAGTATGTACATTGCCCCTGTCGAAGTCACCTCCCTGAATCATGAAGTTCTTGATGACACGATGGAAAGCTGAACCTTTGAAACCAAAGCCCTTCTCACCTGTATGAAAAAGACTGAGTTAAGATATGTCTAACACATCTTATACTGTCACTTAGAAAAACGATAAAGGTATTTACCAAAAATCAAATAGCAAGGGTATTCAGACACGCTACCACTATCACCCTCATTATTCCTTCATATAAGTAGTTCAAACCTGTGCAAAGTTGCTGGAAGTTCTTGACTGTTATAGGAACATCCTCTCCGAAAAGGCCCAAGACAACACGCCCAGCAGGTTTATTGCCAATAGTAATATCAAAATAACATTTGGTTGTAACCTTCGCCTGTGTCTTGACTTCTGTGTCTTGACCACTCTGCCAATCATTGTACTCGTTAATTAACGAACGAACAAGCACTTACATATTTTCTATAGATTTTAGATGATTAACCTGGACAAACGAATAATGTTGAAAATCGGGACAACTGGATCAGTATGAGCAAGACACCTGCATGGCTCTGGTAGTAGCCCGCTGAAAATTCGTGGGTTCTGACGCACTACGCAACTGCTGAGAGCCGGCTCCGAACAAGATGGAGGAGAAACCAAGAGCTTGCCTCTGCACGCTCTCAGACACAGGGCTCAAACTCGCCAACTTGTATCTTTGCAATGACGTCTGGGCAATGAGGTTGCGCTGCATCAACCATGCACAATCAAGCAATCGGTAAGTGAGCAAGAACGGTGATCGACTGCTCTAAAACACACTACAAGACTCAAACATTCATTACTCGGTTTACTTCAATTCTTGTGTCCTAACTGAGGGAATAGCGAAACGAGCATAAAATTGAATTAAAAAACCATCCCAATCGAAAAGAAGAAGAGAAAAATGATTGTGCATAACGGGGATGCACACAATGAATAATCACCACAAAATTTGTGGAAATCTTCTAATTTCCTCCAAACCCCTAAACCTTAAATCATTGGCTTTCATCACCGCACCGCGACTCCATCACCTAACTCCTTAAGAAGACTTCTAACACACAAAGCCTACTCATTGCATCCTAAACCCTTAAGAATTTTCCCCGAACTATATCCTCCAAACAAGTAACAAAAAAACTCGGAAAAATGCGGTGAATCAATACACGAAAGAAAAAAAAAAAAAAAAAAAAAAAAAAACGAGATTTTCTCACAAGAGTTGCAACAGAGCGCGCCATTGTGCGATCCTTTCACAGCGTCGTGAAATTATCTCTCCAAAATGTGTGTAGATTATAGACTCGACAATGCCTCGTGCAAGCAAGCAAGCAGCAAAATACACTCTAGCAGGGCGGCGAAGAAACACTTTGCCCACATTTGGATGGATGAACCGTCATATCATCCTCACTCTTCCTCGGATTTCATTCGTCTAATCTTTATTAAAAAAAAAACTCGTGTTGATTATGTAAAGTGGCGGTCATTTGTTTTCTTCTCCTCATATGTTATTTATAGTTAGAAAAAATATTTGTGCTGGTAATTTTACTCTAACATGCAGTCAATATAAAATTTACCATTTGTATAAATAATGAAAATTTTGTAAGGAGAGATATTTATTTATTCCAAACAAAATATGTTGCAAAATGAATAAATTATTGTATGTTTATTATTCATAAGAACATCTACAAAGGAGATTACTTTGTTTTTAAATTAATATGTTCGGAAAATAATGATATAAAGTATTAATAGAGTTAATTTTATTTAAAGAAATTTTGATAAAATTATAATTAAGATTAATTATTTATAAAAAAATTAATCCTCTGATAGGAAAAACTCCATTGGAGAGCTGATCTTGTGCGATCATTCAAGATGAGTTTTTCACTGCGTGGATGGACGTGGAGCCAGCAAAATGCACCACAGATAGATGACATCCGTTGGGTCTGTTCGGGCGGTAATACCAATGCGGGTGAGAGCGGAAGAGACACGGTCGTAGGTGTTGAAACACGGGTAAGGGTCCGTTTCTTGAAGGAAAGGTCGCGTTACTCCGGACTCCTGCGCTTGGGTCTCGAATTGCTTCCGCTCCAGCCGCTCTCGAATTTGCTACCTCGACCAAATTTGGGAGGATTGGGTGTTGGCGAGATGAACAAGTTCAATTTGCCGCGGCGAAACATTCAGAAGGAGAGGCGGGCCAAGCGGGCGGAGAAACGGAAACGTAGATCCAGCGCTGCGACGTTGAGGGTGTCCTCCGGGAAGGCCCTCGCGAGCATTTCTGGGAAGAAGGCACGCAAGCTTCAGAAGCGATGGCGGCAGGTAATGGGCTGTTCAATTTCTGTCGATCCATTGCTAAATTATGAATTCTGCTTCGTCATTTTCAAATCTACCTGAGTACAAATATAGGTGCTTCACAGCCTTGTGAGACCCTACTGTGGATATGTGACTCAGAATTAGAATGCAAACCCTTAGCAGATTGAACCTATTATTATTGATCAATTTATTCACCAGGTTGGTTTCGGTCATACCGGTATCAGGGTTCGCACCAGTGGAATAGATCATATTATTTTTCGTCACGTCAAAGCGAAGGTTGTTATCTGTGTGACCATTCTATCAGATGACCTGAAATAGGGCTGTTCATTTGGCTGTTTATCACAATTCGACAAATATTTGTGTAATCTGTGAATTATTAGTTTAATGCCTCACGTGTATGATCATGGAGCTAAGGTTGAGGTGTTTCATAAATTGATTCCTGCTATGTTCTGCACTTTTTGTTTGACTATTGCAGGCACAGAAAGAGGCTCTACAGTCTGGTTTGGTCACGATGCATGATATTGAGATGATGGCTATTGATGAAGAAGGTGTGACCTCTATCCGCTGAAACCACGATAGCAGTTTTGTATAATCAAGAGTATTGATGGGGATGGGTTGTTCACTATTCAAACACAAGAATGTACCTACGAACATGTAGTCCACGTGATTTCAATCTTCTCGAGCTTACTGTGCTCTCCTTCTCTGACGAGTGCAATTTCTGATCAGGTGGAGGTAACCAAGGATCATTACAGCCAAAGCTACCTGAATTGCGGAGAGCCTTTCTCATGAAGAAGCGTGCTAAACTGAGGTTGAAGAGCTCTTCGTCTAAAGGTATTCATATTTTCGTATTCCTGACATGGTGTATGTTTGCTTCTCTTCTCAAATTTTTATTGCTACTATTATGTGGATTCCATTCAGAGTAATCTAGATCAGTGTTGTGAGTAACATGGTCTGTGGTGCTGCTGTGGGGAGGAGTAAGCAGGAAAACGAGTCGGCGGTGAAAGTGTTGGGAACCCCACTGCGGTGATAGAAAGCGCAGAAGCAATGATACAATGAAACAGTTGGCCTCTGCCTGATAGCAGGGTTCCTTGCTTTTTTAATCAAGTAAATACTTTATTATTGTCTGAGGATTTGTTCGAAGAATCCTACAGTTGGAAAATGGCCATTGTATCAGTTAGAGAAAAACATACTCCATCTCCTGCAAACATTTGTGCTACTATTACTTAGTGTAGAAGAGGGTATCGTGTTAGATGAGCGCAATTTCAAAAAGACGAAGAGGTGGCCGATCACAACAATTTCCTGGTGCATATGTTATTACTGATTCAGCAAAGTAAATTACAGTACTATCAAATACCAGTTGAATAGAGAAACAGTTTCCAGAAAAATTATCAATGGCATTAAGTTAACCGTGTACAGCAGTTGCTACACAAGCGCAGTGAATTGGGCAAGAATAGTTATGATGCTTCATAATGAAATTCCAGTCTTCGTTGAACCAAGTGTCCTGAACTGCGTGTCCAAAACCTGCAGAACTGCTGAATGATTATTGACATTGATTTCGCCTGGCAAAGAAACTCCTAGAAATCCCCCGCCAAGTCCAAAGAATTATCCTGTACAATGAATCGTGACACGGCCATGTAGTATGCAACTATTACCCTCAAACTACACAACCTATTCAGTCGTTAAAACCTACTCGCATCCAAGAGAAGATGGATACATCCTCGCATCTAATACCATCCTCCCAGATCGTTTTACCTCAACACGCATCCGTTGTGACTGGCAATTCCTCGATCCAAGTCACATCCTTTTAATTTTTCTAAATATAAATGTTGTTCCACATCTATGACTATATATATATATATATGTTCTTCTATTTGATTAAGAATAGGAGGTTGAAAAGATACTACCTCTAGCTGTGCGTTTCCAAGACCTGTTCGCAAATGAAAGTGGCAAATGGAGACCACTGAAGTCGAGAACGTCTCGAGTGTAGTAAACAAGAGCTCCCAAAGACATCAAGGAAGGGTGTCTTTTTTTACAACAGTTTCATGATTGTCATGTGAGATGGCATTCCCATTTGCAATAGGCTTGAAATCAACAGAAGGCTCTTGATTTGGTTGATAGCCATTTGGATTATTGCTTGCCCACTTCCATTGATCTCGACACATCTCGTCAATCCCATTAAGTGCTCTGCAATATTTATTCCAAAAAAAACATTCTCAGAAAGCCAAAAGGAACATATGATACGAGAAATCCAATCCATTAAAGCACCAAAAAAATCCTCGTGCAAAGGAACCTAATCAGATGTAGTACATGCTAATAAATGACCGGTACAAACCAGTATAGTAGTGGTAGTAACTTACTTCCATCCAAGTTCTTTCCTTGCCTTGTCTGTAGCGGTGTAGACTACGCTGCAGTCTCCAGGCCGTCGGCCTGCAATTCGCAGAGGAATTTTCTGTTGCAACAGGTCGGAGATAGGTTAGTGACATCCAGGCACAACCGAAATACATAGAACACCGAACATACAGAAAATCTGCTCTTATGTCAAAAATACTTCACCAACACCAGACCAAGAAAGTCGGCATTTACCAATCCCGCAGCCTTCTCGAATGCGGCTACTATTTCCAGCACAGAGGTCCCTTTCCCTGTTCCAAGGTTGTAAGCAGTGCAACCTGTACATCCACATCTAGTTTTCAGGTGAAGACTAGGACATCACATGCAAGCAGGTATGAATTGAAAAACGAAGAAGATTATCCAAACAATAAGAAAAATAATAAGACTACCTATGTCAGGCGTCGTAAACAGCTTGTGGAGGGCGGCACTGTGACCAGTAGCAAGGTCCTGGACGTGAATGTAATCACGGACCTGAAAAACTCAATAGTGAGTGATTTTTCGAGCATCTTGAGTGATACCACTTCTTAGTACACATACAAAAATTAAACACAAATGATGAAGGAATTAAACGTAAGCGAGAAAAATAAAATTCTAGAGCGCAAAAAACGATACATACCCCAGACCCATCCTTAGTATTGTAATCAGTTCCGAACACAGTCAGCTCTTTCCTTCTGCCCACAGCCACCTGTTGCACAAAGGGCATCAAGTTGTTCGGAAAGCCCTGAGGATCTTCTCCAAGGCGGCCACTGGGGTGAGCTCCCACAGGATTGAAGTATCGTAACACTATGCATCTCCAACCTGAATCTGCAGCGGTAATATCGCGCATCATCTCTTCGACCTGAAGCTTGGTACGACCATATGGATTCAGAACAAATAGACGGGAATCCTCTGTTACCGGGACGCTCTCCGGTTGTCCATATACCGTAGCAGAAGATGAAAACACTAGCTACAAAAGCAAAAACCTTGTATCAGATAAATGGAAAAGGAAAAAAAAAAAAAAAAAAAACGGGAATCACATTCAATACACAAGTGTAAAGTTCACAACACAATTAGAAATGTAAGCTGTTGAAGAGTCATTGACATTCATTGAATGAAGCGCTAAACTGGAAGAACACGGAATGATGGAATCGGTTGTTAAAATACGAGACACGATTAGTTATGAAGAAATTGTATGTAACAATCACTAATCACACCCAACATGACAAAATTAAAGGCATATGACTCACTTCTTTACGATGGTAACACACGCATCCAACACAATGAGATACGGCATCACAAAACATTATTAATTCCGCAACCACAAAAGAACTGACAGCACTTTAGCCACCTCAGACCTTTTTGCAATTACGAGTGTTCATAACATCCAGAAGGTTCAAAGTGCCAAGAATATTGTTGATGTAGTAGGGCAAAGGTTTTGCACAGCTCTCTCCAACTGCCTTCAAACCCGCAAAATGGATTACAGCATCAAATCTGCAAGAATCGGGAAAACCTGGTTATAATTTGGTAGTGATTCATAAGCCAGATTCATAAAACAATTCATGACTAACCATGCATATCCACATGCAAGGAAAACATGAAAATCCACGATGCTAAGTAAAATTATTTTAGCCATGAGCAGTTTCGCAACATACCGGTGCAGGTCAAAAACAGCTTGGATGCCAACCTTGTCGCAAAGATCCACCTGCATAGCCACATATCAGAAAAAAATGTAGTTGATTTAAAATTCAAAAAAAAAAAAAAAAAAAAAAAAAAAAATCAAGCAGGAAATTTCACTCCAAGCTGAAAGCCGCTTGATGTTACGACAGTGAGTATTTAAGCATCCCTTGCAACAACTATTCGCACAGGGGTTGAGGCGTATAATTGTGTTCGTTGGCAAAATAGCCTCAATGAAAGATCATTTCAGGCAACAGGCACTCCAACTTCTCATAGGAATGGTAACGTCATTATATAAAGGGGTTCCTGCTTGACAAAGATTGATATAACTCAGAAAACGAAATTCACCCCACTATTGGTTTAGCCGATCGAGTTTCACGGATGCTTCAGGTGCAAGGTACTCAGGTAGATATGGAATTACGGGCAAGCCGTGGCAACTTCTACGTCAAGTCGCTTAAATTATACTTTGAGAGTACGTAATACTAAATCAGCAACCCACAAAAACTTTCGTCTGAAAGGTATTGCTAGTCTGTATGCACATCTTCAAAAATTTATCAGAGAATGCCTGCTAACGTTCACGACTACAGCCAAATTACGGACGGGACACATCTTAATCTGTTTTTCATTGTAAGACTGCATGATCTGAATTGCGAATGCAATTTTCCTTGACAAGTTAGAAAAAAAAAACATACAAAACCTTCTACATTTCACAGTCTACATGTGGCAACTTTATGTTCACCTGCTACTTAAATGAAGAATATTTTCAGATCAATAGTGATGATCGCAGAACACACCTAACGAGGACTTTGAAATTACATCAGTCAAGCTCCAGGAAATAAATAAATAAAATAAAATAAATAAAATGATGTAACAATTAAGGTCGGGATTTTAAAGCTACAGACCTTGTGAAAAACAAGATTTTTCCCTTGCTTGCCAGCCAGATCCACGACCCTTCGGACAGCTTCCTCGCATGAATTGACAAGGTTGTCCAAGATAACAACTTTATAACCATCAAGCAACAGCTGCAGTGATGTATGAGTTCCAATGTATCCTGCCCCGCCCGTCACTAAAATGCATCTCTCCGGATGCAGGATTCCGTTGACTGTCATCGTATGAAACGAAATCCACTCTTCAATCCACAAACAACTATCGATCTCCGCGTACCGACAACTTTCGGACTCGTCCTTTCCTTATCGATTCAGGCGCTCACTCTAACCTAATAGACCTTGATTTCCTGAAGTAACAGGTGAAATGCAACTCGTCATTTCACAACACACGCAGCTTTCGTCGTATTAAGTGCCGATTGAAAGAATGTACGTCCAAAGCGAGGGCGCACAAAGATGAGCTGGCCCAGTCACACACGGCGAAACCGTGTTCAGGAGCGAGACCACTGTGATCATGCTGCTACACTCTCGTGAAGCCTACGGCACGGATCTGGAACATGTGAGCTCACTCACACTGATTCTACTCACGCGCATCAACAATGCTAAGTCGCTGGCACTATTACAAAATCTCAACAAGTCTACACTCTAACACATCAATACGATGAATTCAAACCTACATTTCTCGCAGGTCCTCTCAACCTGCTCCACAATCCAAGACTCGCAGCCCTCTCCAAAACTCCCTAACTCAAAGTCTCACTACTCACGTAGCCGCAAACGAGATACTCTCGCTACCGCATGCAATCATGCCCTCTAAGATCAGAAGCCTCACTCCACCTCCACCTCGAGACCTTAAACAGGGGAGCCAAATCACACGGTCAAAGAGCACACCGCACGCACTGAAAAACCTCCAACCGTGAACCAAATAGAGCTTCGCGACAATCGTCTCGCGTCTAATCTAAAGACACGTGAGAGTGTGCAGCGAAATGCGTGGATCTGAACTAATTTGTTCGCTTCTGAAAACGATGAATCGATCCCTGTCCTCTCCCCTTCGCCCCGCTCTCTGGCTTTGAAGCTCCGCCACGCATGTCCGGGTGGGAGAAGTGTTGAACATAACGTACCCTGCGCCTTCCTATGATCAAGCTGGGTCGGGCATGATCGGGCCGGGCCAGGCTGGGTGTTGCACCACACTCCCCCCCCCCCCCGGCCTGGCCCGATCCCGAGCATTCTAAGCGCTGCGGATTCCGCCTCACCACGCATCTTCAATTATTTCCCTACACTAATTCATGTATGATTACCCATGTCTTATGCTTCAAAACCTAATCATCAGAAATAATCCAGTAGATAAAGCCATATTTTGGGGCCCATAATTGTGCTGCAGATAGCCTTTTCCACCTAAGGCCTAAAGACCACCTAATGTGCAAGGTCAAAATATTCTTGGAATATTATAAAGAAGACTTTCACAAAGTGCACGACAATAAACATATATATATATATATATATATATTATTACTGGACATCTTTTAGTTGATGGTAGATTTTGTTTCATTGCATTCTTTCTCTCCAATGAACTCCCATATTAGTACTTTTTGTTTTGTCATTTGTTATGTATGTATTACTTTACTTACCAACAAAGGAAGATCTCATGCAAGAGACTAACATATAAAGAAATAAACAAAAAAAAAACAAATATATATATATATATATATATATATAAACAATTGAGCCTGCACAATTTTTAAGTATATCAGTGGATATAATACAACATATGTTTATGAAAGCAACTTCATTTAATTGGAATGAGTACACAACTTTGCTAACATTATATTAATTTAGAGATGTCTTCAGAACAACAATTGTAATAAGAATAAAAGAGTAGAAAAATAAACAGCCTCTAAAAAGGAGATGGACTTGATCAACAAGAGATATTTTAGTGTTCACCTTCACATGTGTAATACTAGGTGTTAAGGAACCCTGTCAATAAAATCCCCTCACCATGTATTGTATCTGTTTTCTCACACAACTCAACACATGTGTTTCATGACGACAGCCAAGAAGGAGAATTCCCATTTCTATTCAATTCCAACTCCCAATGCTCGTTCATTTGGAGACCAAAAAACTAAATAAATAAAAAGTGGAGCAAAAAAGTAGAAAATAACAACCCTTGGGCATTAGAGGGCCCCGTTCACACTGACGTACAGCAGCGGACAAAGCAGCGTGACAGAATTATTGTCCAGCCTCTCAAAGGCGGGGGGGAGGTCGATGTCAACGGCCACCCCCCAAGGTCCACCACTCATAAAGTTCCACATCAGCAACATAGATCCTAGTCAATGCTTACGTGGTCAAGTCGTCCACGTGGACCCAATCATAAAATACATTGCTTTTTTCCCTCCTTCCTTTAAAGACTCGATTCCCATTGGCGGCCACGTCAGAAGCATCTCGCTGCCTATGACTTTGCACGCTCACCAGGTTTCCTTTTCTTTTTTAAGAAAATATCTTTTAATAACACAATCATTTTAAAATGATATGGAATATTCGAATATCGTGGTCGTTGGTGACGTCACCATATACGGCGGTTTCCAACCCAGAATCTGGAGGCTCCTCCACACGGTGCCAATTCCATGCTGCCCGGGTCCATTGCTTTTTATAATCTTACCTTATTTGAATGATTTGGAAACCCAATTATTAGAAGTGTGTGTGGGAATGAATGGGGGAATTATCGAACAGTTTGTAACTTGGTAACCAATCTCGCTGCCAATTCTAATTCCATTAGTGTATTGTGAGGCTATACTTTTGTCTAAAACGTTGTTAAAATATCTCTGGAAACTAATGACGGGATGATTTCAATTACTTGTTTGTATGAAGATGGAAATTTTCGCCTCTCTTTTCTTTTCAGTTTTCGATTGTTCCAATTAAAATACCCATTTTTAACCACATAATATGGAATGCTTTAAAGATCATGTCTTCTCTGTGATAGCGCACAAGTTTAAGAGGACCCAATAGCAGTTGTAAAAATGGAAAGTAAACGTACTACTTCAAAAAGAAAAGAAAAAAAAAAATGGAATTAACAATGAAAGGTCGATTCAAGCATTTTACCAATATATTATTGGTATTCATCAAAACATTTACATGTATGCAATGAAAAATATCAAGAAATTGATCTCACATATAACAACACAAGATTCTATTTTACATTGTATTTTAAGGTTTCATCTCAACACGAATCAACACACACGTCTGTATATATATACTTATATATACAAGCCCATACATACATACATATTCATGGTAAATTATTTCTCCTTATTCCATTAAATTTAAGAGAAATAAATTTAAATAATTGGTCAAAAGTACTAGCTTGAGATATATATATATATATATATATATATATCTACATCTGAATTGAGAGGTGGTGCATTCCATAACATGTTTGTGCATAATATATAATATGTATTCATTTTCAGACGTATGTATATAATATAATACAATACACGAATATAATACAATATACATATACAATAATAATAATATTATATAATGTGTATTATGTTTCTGCGTCGTGAAATGGTGGAGTCTGTTAGAGGTTAAACTGGCAGGGCACAGAAGGCCGCATGTTGGGGGTGGCGATGGGTGGTCTGACAAAGTGTGGCAGGCTACGTGTGGAGTGGGTACTTGACATGAGCCCCCACTCATTGGAGCTGTGGAAACGGTTCCCCTAGCGTTCCCAAACGAAAAGCAGCTGAAGAGCAGCTCCAAGAAGGGAAAAAAACAAACTAGCTGTTGGTTCGGAGGGTGCTGACATCTATCTTTACAAAATTAACAACATACTATATATGTACATATTTATTGTTTTCAAGTTTAATTAAATGCTTTGTGTTTCCTAGAATTTGAAATCGTGGACCATGGTTTAGTATTTTTGTTTTAAAAGTAAAAGAGTTACGAGAAATGTGCATACATTGATGTGGATTAACATAATCACGTCATCAGTGATTTTTGAAATTTGGAATGATTGTAAATTAAAATTAGTTTTTTTTAAGAATTTTGATTGCATGTATAGATTATTGTTGCTAGGGTTTTCATGGGAAGTGATCTCAAGCTAAGCCATACGTATAAATTTAGAAGGTTTTCAAATTTATGAGAATCAGGTGCATTAGAAATATAATTTTCAATGCAAATCATCTCATGTATCATATTATTAATACATTAGCAATGATTCATCCAAACTTTTGATAAATTTTCATATATCATTTACATTTGCATGGATAAAAAACCTTATGCAACTCATCATTTTGTAAAGTTTATTTCATTCTATTTATAGGAGTATATAAATTGTCCACAGTTTGCAATTATTTGAAGATCTTCTCTGAAAGAAAAAAGAAAAGAAAAATAATGATAAATTGTGATTTGTAAACAAGTACCATTCAAAAGCAATTCATCAATGCATTCCTTAAACATACATAATTAAATTACAACAGATTTTAAACAGATGTAAACAAATATATAATGTGCTCTTGAGAATCAATCATACAACCACCTATTTAAGTTTTACTTGTATATATATATATTAACATGGAATGAGTAAAAAATATAAATTTATACATAAATAAAATTTTATAAATTTATTATTAAAAATATAATTATTTATCTAATATTATACATATTCTGTTTTTTTTTTTGAATTTTAATAAATACATATCTTCTAATCCCTATTACCTAACTAAATGACTACAATATCAGCCTTGAGATGTTGAAGTGTAAAATAATCTTTAAATTTTCAAATGATTTGAATTCTTTTTGGAATGTTTGTAAGAGTATTGCCACCCATTGGCGCCAATAGGGTTGGCAGATGGATAGATGCTATGGATATATGGTGCATTAGCTATGGTGGTCTTCAAGCTATGGTGGTCTTCAGTCATAAGGCAAAGTGGTTGATAGAAGCCAAGCTCGATACTATGTACCTACTTTATATTAGCTCTCCAAGAATCCCATTTCTAGCCCCCTTCTTTCCATGAAACCTCCCTCACATTGTAAAACAAGAAATTAATAATAATTGGCCAACTATTAGTGACAACAATGGCCAAATCCTAACCAAATGTTAACTAATCTAAAATTGCACAATGAATCCAAATCAATAATTGGAGTGATGTCTAAAATCTAAGATCACATTTAAAATTGCTTCTTTATTTATTAGATAGTTTTTCACTTTGTTTATCATTCAATTTGACATTTGATTTGTCATTAAATTTTTTATCTTATTTATCATCTAATTTTTTACCTTATTTATCATCTAGTTTATCACCTTATTCATGACATCAATTTAATTCAATGTATCATTTTGGCTCATGGAACCTTACTCTTCATCTAGTTTATGTCCTTGTTCATGACCTCAATTTAATTCAATGTATCATTTTGGCTCATGGAACCTTACTCTTGGTGCTTTGTAAAGTTCTTATTATCTTTTCCAATTTCTAGAAATACCAATCACTACTCATCAATAAATAAGACATATATATTTCTAATTATTTGAAAGTCTCCAATAGAATTTAATGTTGGTTTTAGATTATTTACAATAATAGAAGCAATTGAATTATTAAATATTTCAAAGGTTATATAAAATATTCAAACAATTCTACTACTATCAAATTATTCTCAAAGAATGGAATAATTTGATTTTTTTTCTATTTTAATCTTATTTTTATACTTTGATTATTCTACTTAATTTTTTGAGGTTTTAAAAAATCTTTACAATATTGTTTATAATGATTAAAATAATTATATAAGTTAATTATTTTAATTTTTTTATTAGTATCATTTTTATTAATAAAAATTGAAATAATATTAATTATCATGGATATATATATATATATATATATATATATATAGATAAGTAGTATTAGGTAAAAGATAAATATAGGTGTATTTGATAATAACTTGTAGCAATGCTTCTTAGAAGTTTTATAAATGTGAATTTGTCTCTAGATGTGTTTGTAGTTGATTGGTAGGTTAGAAACTTGACCAATAAGTTAGCCATGCATTGTACATGTTGATAGCTTGTAATACAACTTGTAACTTGTAATACATAAGAATACTTCTATTATAAGTTAGACATGTGTCTTGCAAGTTAGACACATATTGGAGGTCCTATATAATGTCAATATGTAGCTCTAAGTTAGATTATATAT